AGTCATAAGGGGTCATCCATAAATGACGTCACCCTTTTTTGACGATTTTTACTTCCCCCCTCCCCTCCGTCACACGTCGTCAAAAAAAGCCAGACCCCCCCCCCCCCCCTAAAATGTCGTCACACCTCAGCCTACAACCTCCCTCAAAATTGCAGTTGAAATTTTTTTTAAACAGCTATATTTTTCCAAAATCTTGTCTGAACTCTGTCAAAATAGAGTATTTTAATCAATTGTTACTATTATTTTATTAAAACAGTTTTCTAAAACGCAAAATAACTCTAAAATTCGTTTTCTAACATTGCTTTTTTATAATGCAAAAGTGTGACGTGGCACCAACTGAACCCCCCCCCCTCCTCCCCCTTATCACACACCGTCACAAAATTACGGACCCCCTTACCCCCTAAGAGTGTGACGTCATTTATGGACGACCCCCAGGCATATATTAAAACAATATAAAACAATCATATTAAACCACAAAATCAACACAAAACACGTGCGAATAGACAATTTTTCAAGGGAAACTACTCTATTATTGTTTTTGAAACATGGCCGCTGCTTGTATTTACTCTTTGTTGTCTCGAACGTGGTAGTTTAAAGTTTATTCCAGGATATTTATGACTTGTTTGGTCTTGGATTGTGATTTGTTATTCAATTATCTGTTCAATTATGTAAAATATGACATAAATATGGCCAAATGAAAGAAATATTCATTAGTTACCTTCATCGCTCATTACTAGCTATGTTGGAATTTACGACGCTAAACTAAGATTTTACCCAATTATCTATAATATTATATTAAAATATAGGAAAATATAGGTCTAATCATATTTATTATTTAAAATTTAAAGACATATTCAAAAAATATTCATTAATTCACTCTCCCCACATTACTAGTTTCGTTGGAATTTACGACGCTAAACTAAGGTTTTACCTTATCCTTATCCATTATATTTTATAAAATGTGTCGAAAATAATCTATTTTCGCCCTGTATTATTTATTAGCCTTATTTATTCGGGCTGTGATCGTCACTAAATAAATAAAACATTGCGAGAACGCCATGGCAGCCACATCAATTCATATGGGGAAATCCCAAAAAAATTAAATTAAACTAGTCTGCTATTATCTAGTCTACCGAGTTAACTTTAACGCCGTGTTTTCTATTGTTAAGATTTTTAAATTAATAAACTAGAATCTACTTACACGGTGAGGTAAATGGGCAAGTCAGGGGATTTTAATAAACATTCAGTGACGAATCACAATTGTCTTTTACGAAATTACGTGTTGTAGAAAAGGCTACTAGATCTAGATCTATATTCAACACTTCCGGTCTAATAGGTTTTTTTTTTTACCGTTGGAAATTCCCGTTTTTGTTTATTGTACAGTTTAGCTAGTTGCACAAGTGAATAAAATATGACATCACAGGCTCTAAACCTTTCGTGCACAATAAAATCAAATTCAAGTGTAGTCGTTCTCATTGCTATGTTAACCGTTTAAAAAACGATAGAAAGCGTTTATGATTACAATTATATATGCCCTTCTTATTAGCAGCGGTTATTGACCGTTACCGCCGTATAATTTTTATTTCAACTTTTTACTTGTTTTTGTTAATTTCATATTGAGTTTAAAATGTGAGTTTTCAAAAAATCATTTAAAATAGTAAAACATTGAGACTAACTCTGTTTTTAGTGGGATTATCTTCATTATTTATTCAACTTTCTTACTAGCATATTTATTTTAGGTTTATACGTTTAGGTTTAGACGACTATGATAAATGTCTCACAAACTAGGTACCCTATTAACAGTATCGATACCGCATTTTCATGTTCCTTCGTTTTATAGGAAATATGTCACCAATTTTAATACATTTTTTTTTCTCAAAGAATTTTAATAATTAAACTAGAATCTAGTAAATGAGCAGATTCAAAGATAATAAATTGAACTTTTTAAACTAGTAAAAATTGTGTGAGTTGAGCTAACATGTTGCGGCCTGTCCTGCGTGCTACTAATGATTGAATTAGGCATACGATAACTCAACACAAAGTTGAAATTAAGTTATAAATAGAATGATTTAAAACTACAAATAATGACACTATTACGTTTTTTTTACTTTCTCGTATATACGAAGTATAGAGAAAGTATTGTAATCGTGCAAAAAAAAACAGATTTTTACAAATCTCGACGTTTTACACCTCACTGATACGGAAAAACATAACTTTGCAATCTTGTCCGTATGTCTGTGTGTGTGTCTGTGTGTGTGTGTAAACACGATAACTTGAGTACCGTTACAGCTAGGTTGATGAAATTTCATATATAAGTATATACCGCCCCTCTGGAACAAATTTTCAATTTGCACCCCCGTCAAACTTTCGATTTGCACCCCCTCCCCCTCAAACTGCAAAAATGAAGCTAAAATGACATTTTATTTGTTTTTACAACCCATTTTTGGCGCCCCCTAAGGTCGGCGCCCGGGGACATATGTCCCCCCCCCTGCCCCCTCCCCATCGCTACGCCTCTGTAAGTCGTACAGAAACGCTCGTGTCTAGCGTCTGTCTTTGTTGCTGCGTGAAATGCTCGATTCTTGATAACGTTGCTGTTTGTTTCGTGCCAGCTATGTTCAGTTAGCTAACGACACCCAAAGATTATCTCTTAACTAACATGCTTCCAATAAGTCATAAACACTCATATTTGTTAAACTGTACTGATCTGTCACTGTGACACCGTTTACTTAGGAAATATAAATGTTTATTTTTTGTACTTTTATTTTATTTTTACTACTACTATGATGTTTGAGTTAAATGATTGAATTTAGCCTGTGGTCTATTTTTATTTAAATAGCTTTTAATATACCACTTTTAAATTAAATAATTTATTAATATCTTGCTAGAGATACTCAATGCAGTAAACTGTTGTTAATGCATAAAAAATACTTATTTGAAAATTTTATAATTGTCCGCCTACCCAGAGTTATTTCCCGTTCGCCTTTTTTTTTCTACTCTCGACGAGACCAATTTTTTTTTTTCATTTTCCATAGGCTTAGTTGTCCCCCCAATTTGTACACTAAAACCGTCATATCTAGAGAACCGTTTATCCTATAAACATAAATTTGGTATCATTTTGCAACATTTAGTCCCATTAATACAACCCCTTCATTATTTTGTCACTTTATTTATTTTAAAAAATGTGTGCGACTGGCTGAGGGGTCATCCATAAATGACGTCACATTCGTAGGGGGGAGGGGGGGGTCCGTAATTTTGTGACGATGTGTGATGAGGGGGAGGGGGGGGGGGTGGTTCAGATGTTGCGACGTCACACTTTTGCATAATAAAAAAGCAATGTTAGAAAACAAATTTTAGACGTTATTTCGCGTTTTAGATAACTGTTTTAATAAATTGTAATGGTTTAGACAAGATTTTAGAAAAATATCGATGTTTAAAAAAAATTCAACTGTAAATTTGAGGGGGGTTGTAGGTTGAGGTGTGACGTCATTTTAGGGGGGGGGGCTTTTTGTGACGACGTGTGACGGAGGGGAGGGGGGGGGAGGTAAAAATCGTCCCAAAAAGCGTGACGTCATTTATGGATGACCCCTGAGACGTTGGAGCAGGTAAAAGGGTCATGGGTATCAGGGATAAGGATCACGGGGGTAGGTGGCGTTGTTCGCGGTGCTGACGAAGCGTGAAGGGAGTGAACATTTTTCAGTAAATGTGGGTGAGTGTGTGTATTTTCCCACGATGAAAATGTGGGGCGCCGTGATTTTCTTACAGTTTCTAGTATTGTTGACTCTCTACAAGCTCCCTAATAAAAGTCAATAGTATTATCTAATCAATAGTAATATAACTTTTACATCTTATATTAACAATGACCGCTAAAAACTTTTACTTCGGCGCCCCACGTTTTTCATCGCTTATAGTAGAGTGATCGCTTGCATTATTGTGATGTATATCATTTATTTTCTACTTTTTAGTTCAATCAGAAAACGTGGGTTTTTTTAAACTTTTTAAATGATAGTTATTATGTACAAAAAGGAAACACAGGCTGGTAGTTAAATATACAGGTCACATTATGTGTGCTCTCACCGTATGTATGAACTGTAGAGTAGTCGCACACAAAAAATACTGTTGTTTTACAGGTTTGTACAATAGTGTATAGTGGGTAGGGTCATGGGGGTATGGGTTGAGTGAGAGGGGGTGGGGATTGTCAACGTGATGCGTGACAGAATCAAAAGTACGACGGCAATCTAAGGGGTTACGGGATGGTAACTGATTTAATGCAAATGGCATTAATCATATAATTTGTTTATGTAATGTGGATAAGCTTAGGGGTTGTTAAGAGTTAGGGATAAGGGTTAGGACTAGGGTTATTATTAGAATATAGTAATAATGATTTTGATTCGAGCAAATATTAAGAATTTAACTGATTAATGAAATAAGCATATATTGTAGCATTTAAGTGTTATGTTGGCGTTGGTTTTTTTTTTTTTAACCTCAGACATGTTTCTTACGTTAGAGAAAATAAACAGTGCGCTTATTTCCTCGACAGTCTGTGAGTTGATGTAAGCACTTTGCGTATTTCCTATATTATTGGCGCAATAAGCAATAACTGTTTTAAATAGGTAAACCGCCGTAGAAATATTAAAGTGTTCTTCTTCTTCTTTCTTCTTCTTCGTTCTTAATTTTTGATTATGGTGGAGGAATTAGACAACAGTCCAATAAGTGTTCTTATTGGGGATTTGTTGAGATCATTAAAATTTGTTCTTACTTTAGCATCATTGGTGTGTATAGATTTTTAATGTGTGGATTGTACTGATTGAATGACACCAACGCGAAAAACTGTCAGTTTTAAATATTTATTTTTAATTTCCTTTCATCAGTCGTATAGAAAACGTATGTTCATAGTATACAACGTATAATTGGTGTTACCATCCAGAAGAGAGTCGCACTAAATGGCCTTTAGTTAACTATACATAGAGAAGTGGGACCTTCTTAGTTCTCACCAAAGCTAGTTTGTGACATACGTTTTTATAAATCGTACAAAAATAATTCATTTTCGTACAATAAAATATTTAAATTAGCGCTAGGTCTATGTATAAAATGGTGTTATATCATGAGTAACAAACAGGGCTATACGGGAATCACCGACGACTCTGCGATCAAAGCGATCTGGGATTGGGGAAAAATAATGAGAAATTGGCATATAACAAACACGTTCTACAAGCTATTAGAAAAAACTCAATAGAATGTGACTAATGCTATTCATGCACAGAATCACGCTAGGGCAGTTTTGCTGTGGTGGAATGGGGGTAGGGTGTGATTGACATGAACACGTTATGTTAACGTATACACTGTGTAGCACAGGCTTAGCGAGTGCGAGGAGGGGTGCAGAACGCACCGGGTAACACCATTTAGAGGGTGACACCAAGGCAAAAAATTGTAAAATGTACAGAAGAAAAATGGTTTTTACCAGTTCTCTTAATAATTAATTAAAGCTAAATAGTCTTTTAAGTACAAAATCGATAATTATTACAAGAGGGTGGGGATGACACCATAAAGTAGATGTGCTAGCTATAGAGATAACAATGCTACATCCAACTGTATTATCAACAGACTATAAACATCGTACAGTGATTAAAGCTTATACATACACATACACACACATATATATATATACGCCACTGCTATGTAGCCTACCATTATCTGTGAAGTTACAGATTTAATGGGCTGGACCTCACTGTATTCGACTGTTGTTCAGTTAAAGCCACCGCTGTATCCAAGTGTAAAGTTATACTCCAGTCTTTTCTGTGACTTGTGGGAAGCTGTATTCGAAAAGATTCAGTAAACTGACGGAAGTCTTTCGGAGGTCAAACTGGTGTGAATCAGGAAATGATGTGTTGAACCTAGCCGTGTAAGTATCTACGAAGATTCGGAAATTTCATTGGTTAAGTCTGATACATCGGGATTTCCAACAGTTGAAAACAAAAATACACCAATGCGAAATAATCAAACCAACATTGAACTGCATATCCCAAACAACCATGCATTGCCACATTCTTAAACACATCCTTCTGAATTTGATAAAGAGCTATTAGATCGATGACAGAACGCCCCACCACGGCCCCTTTACTATTTACACTATAGATCTTTTGCTCTTCTTATAAAAGTCAATATGATCACTGTTTGCACATAGTAATGTGTATCAGTATTATTTATGCATATAATTAAGTAAACCACGAAAATCAAATACAAAAACATAAGTTAAGAAAAGATTTCGAGAAATAAATAAGTGTGAGCACAACATTCATCGATTAGTCATAGTGTGAGCTTTTAAAACTAGTAGCATCAGTTTCAACCCATTCACCAGAATAATTCCCATCAGAGTTAGTCCCACTGTGGGTATGACCGGTTAATTCAGCTTTAGCTGGCGTGTACACATAGGCGCCGCTTGTGCCTGGACAAGTACATGTTGTGTACACATACCTTCTCCAAAAACGACCCCTTTCATGTTTGTGTGTCCATTGCCCTACAGAGACCTGTTGAGGACAGCCATGAGGATGTGAGACTATGATAGTTAGCCTGTCTGTATTTTCAAATAAGGGATACTTTTCACCTTTCATCATTTTGTAATGTAGAGTTCTAAAGCGCCAGTAATTTTTCTCCAATTCATCAAGCAATTCTAGATCACAAGTCGCACATGTAATCACACAGTTATCCTTGACAATGTCCGTCGAAATCGAATCAACGCACAATCCGTCAAGACTGACCCCATGTCTTTTAGTATCATTAAAACTGAAAATACATTCGGTCTGTCTGGCCTCGCTATCATCAAACACCACGTGTCTTGCTGTGAGTACCTCAACTTTCCCCCACACTTTGCTGGGTGTGTCCGAGTGTTGACACCTGCCACATGGACACGCCCTGTCTGTCAACAAATTCTTATCTACATACCACACTCTCCCCGTCCCTGTCCTCAACATATCACTTCCTCGTATGTTGTAGAACGGGTACTGAGAATTAAAACTTGAGTCATATTTTGGTCTCTCTGGACTGGTGTACTTGACCTTTATCATGACCGTTACGCCAGACAAAGCTTTGATTACATCCAACATTAGGTCGTCTTGGTAACGTAAGGGGAGATGATTCAAGTTAAAATCATTAACAGGTATAAAGTTGACATGACCTGGATTCTTCTTACAGCCGGTATAGTGCTTGTGTAAGTCAGCTTCACCTCCATAGCAGATCTCGGCTTCATGATATCCTGAAGAGTTAAATGATAATAGATTATGATTATATGGTCTTCTTGATGGTCTTCCTCATTTACCAGCAACCAACAGAAATGAGACCAAATAGATAGTTTACATTTGGAAAGTTTCTACAGCACATTAGTGCCATAAATAGCTCCAAACAAAATTTAAATTGCATTCTGTTTGATCAATAGTTAAATTAAAGTCTACAGACTAACAAACGTTCATTTTTAAAAAGTCATTAAAAAACTAATACTTTTAGTAGTAAAAGATTATGATTGAATCGTAAAACATACTTTGTATGATAGTTGTCTTACCTGGAATAAAATTTCTTCTTGTATTAAATGTTTCTAGTTGATAGCTCTCAGCATTGTATTTTTTATTAAAAATTGCTAAAAAAATATACAGTTAAGTCTGAATTTACTTCAGTATTTTAAAGTAATTCTATAATATAAAACATTATTACAAGTGTAAAATTAATAATTATATAATAGCTACTTCAGTATTTGTTACCTTTTTTATTTGCATTTCCCATGACCGATATTAAAAAATATAAATTTAAACTTAGATCCCTGTCGCAAGCAAAGCTGCCACTTTAGCAGTGCCAAACTATGTCTGGCCGTAGGTATATGCAGCAGTCTGTGTAATAAAACTATCAAGATAAAACGGGTAAATAGAAAGCATAGGCCGTTACAAACTTGGGGTGTGGGCTGATTTAGATAAGTGCTTCCCAAAATTTTTCAGCCCCCTTTCAATTTAAAATTTTCCCAACGCCTCCTCTCCCTACGGAAATGTACTTAACTATATATATTTAAAATTATATATACAATGCATCATCTTTGTTTTCTATACATATTGTCGCTTGGGTTTAAGAGGACATAACCAATCCACTTAGGCAGTGGCGTAGCGAGATCGGGTGTCACCCGGTGCGGCACTTAATGGTGTCACCCCCCCCCCCCCCAGAGGCGTAGTGACCCTTCCCGGGGACAAACTTTCAAACTTTCGATTTGCACCTCCCCCCTCAAGTTTTTCTCTATATATTTTGCTATTTTTTCCCTGGGTGTCACCCCGCTAAATGGTGTCACCCAGTGCGGTCCGCACCCCCGGCCCCCCCCCCCTCGCCACGCCTTTGCACTTAGGGTCTATTATTAGACAACGAACTGCTGTATGGAGACAATAGCAATTAAAGCTATTTTTAAGGACAGCGAGAGGTTTTACAAAAACTTGCATGCACAATTGAAAGTTTCTGTCTGGGTAGGACGAAAGTTTTTTTTTCTTGAAGCTTTCACCGCCCCCCCCCCTCCCATTTTCCATGACATCTCTACCGTCCTCCTTCCCCTCCCTTGGGGCGATATCATACATTTTGCGAACCGCTGCTCTAGACAGATATCAAAGTGTTTTTTTTTTTAAATTTAGAATTCTGAATCAATAACATTAGGAAGGGGAGGTTAGTTTTATTATAACCATTTGATATGTTTTCGAGGTTTTGTGACTTAAACAATCAAAACAATTACATATAATTTCAAATCTGGGAGAATTATTTCCAAGAAAATGTAAAACACAAGTAATTGAAAAATAGCGCCTACGCAATTATGAATGTACGTAATCGGGAACTCCCTTTAGAGCAAGTGCTATGGCGTCTCTGAGACACACGGTCGATGAGGTAATCTGTTGTAGGTATGCTAGATATAGATTGCATGTAATGCCTAGAAATGCTTTCTCAAGAATGTTAAAGATAAGGCTACATACTGTTTTAGTATGCCACAGATTGCTGGTAGTTTCAAACTGCTAACTTAATGTTTAGGAGTTTATATATATATATATATATATATATATATATATATATATATATATATATATATATATATATATATATATATATATATATAATAAAATACTTCATGTTTAACAACATGTGTACGTTTGGGTTGGATAGTAGATCATACGACTGCTAACCCGAAAGTCTCGAATAAGAATCTCGAGTTGTGTCATTAGAAAATCCTTGAGTCATTGAGTCTACCCAGCTCTGGTTTCACATTAGGGAAAATAAAGTCTTCTGGTGTGCAGTGTTGACCACACTATTCCTTCAAATGCCGAAATCTACTTCACCTTCCCCATGGACTGTCGAAAGGGTACTTTACGTTTACTTTGCTTCAAATTTTAGAAACCACATTGCATCCCTTTTTACAGTGTTTCTTCAAGGTATCTCCTCGGAGGATGGGGGAGGACACCCCGAAAAGAGTCTACCACTCCCCCCCCCCCCCAGAATGAAATGGAAAATGGAATTTATATAGAAAAAATATATTTTTGACAGTGTCCGACTCCCCCCCCCCCACCGAAAATTTCATCTGTCGTCGTCCCTCCCCCCCCCTTCCTTGAGAAAAAAGTCTGAAAGAAACAGTGCCTTTTTACATTCACATCCCAAATAATCTAAACACATCGTTATTAAATCTCAATGTAGAACACATTCATATGTGCAGAAACAGAAACACACGCATACATTTTCGTCCAGGCATCTCACATTATATAAGTATAAGCTTTTATGCAATTTTTTGTAGTTCACTTATCGTTTTAAGACCGTAAAATCGGCTGACTCTAGTACTATGCGGATGAGGTATAAAAACGAGTATGGCTTTATTTAATGTTTACACACTTTAATCGACTTATGGCATATTTTAAAAAAAATTAACAGATTTGGCCTAGGCCTGTAAAAGATAATTGAACAACGGCGTTTGAGAAAATTATATCTAGAATTCTATGTACAAGGAGTGTCTATCTTTAGAAATGATTTTAATTTAAAGGGGCAGAATTTAGAAACGAAAATACTTTTCAATCAATACATTATCATACGAATAGAAATTAAAGGGAAACCACTCTAAATATTATTAAATTGGTCGCTCTTTCATTAATTAGTAAATTACCAGCTTCGGTTGATTGTACCGTCCTAAAACGATTTTATAATGTATTTTACAATTGTAGGCCTAACTTGGTAACTAGGCCTATATGTACATGATGACTCTTAAGTTATAGTTAAAATAGTTATAGACATAGTTAAATAATAATATTACTAATTAGGCCTACTATTAGCTATTATTAATAATTAATTATAGTAGGGCCTATAACTATAAGGGATAATAGGCCTAGATCTAGCTATTATTATTAATTAAGTATAGATCTAGACCTAGCTACACTAGTTAATAGTAGTTAAGTAAAGTGATCAATTTTGTTATGCCTTAGCATCAAACTAGGCAAAACTCACTATCAACTTGAAACTTATAGTAGGCCACAATATAGTATATACAGAGTGTAGCCCATGGCATAAGTTATAATATAACTAAAACACTTCTAGATCTAGATCTAGATTCTATTTGTAGGATAAAGATATAATTTATAAAACTGTTATTGTGGATTCTTGATATTAACATGACAGTACACTTGCATTGTCTACATTATTTAGTAAGTAGGCCTAATACTTAATTAATATATTCAATTATATTCATTAATTAATCTTTTAAAAAAAAATATAGGCCCCAAGGAGCTTTATTTTTTTAATGTCAAAGTATTAGACCTATTTAAGTTAAGGGATAGTGTGCCCAACCAGTAGTAGGACACTAGACTGATAACTGGAAAGTCTCAATTTTGAATCTTGGTTCAAGTCAGTAGATCTTCCCTGAGTTAACCCAGCTCTGATGGGTACCTAACTCACATTAGGGAAAATAAAGGCAGCTGGGTATAGTGTTGCCAAGGTCAAGACTCTTCATCTGTCCAAAGGATCTCTAGTTCTAAAGAGGAATCTTTACTTTTCTATTGGGCCCATTATTGCTTCCATATTTGGGATTCCATGGTCTTATATTAGAGCATAACACTATTAACACAGGAGTCTGGAGCTCAGGTCTGGCTTGAGAATGGTGGATTTCACTGAGCCTGTCCAGTTTGGTGGTTCTACAAATGGAAGGGAAAATAAAAGTAGCTGGGTATTGCACTGACCACATTAACTCTTTAAATACTGAGATCATAGAAACAAATCACTTGCCTGAAAGTGCAACTTAACTTTTTTTTTCAAATCGATTAGCAATATAAACATTCAAAGATAAATGTTTTAAGCATTATCACAACTAAAATAATATCCATTTTGATTATTATGATTTAAGAAACTAGATATGACCCCCCAAAATAAATGGAAAATCATTAAAATAAATTGCAATGGTATGAGCATTTTTTAAAAACCAAGCGTGACTAAAAAATAGAATTAAAATAAAACATATTGGCTCGTCTACGTTATTCATCATTATTCATTATTGATTCCTAGTTTAAAAGACAAAAATTAAGTACAATACAGAAATCTATTTTAGCACCTTATTTATCATACCAATATATAAACTTTCTAAATGTGTCACATTCCTCTAGTTTTAATTAACTCACCATGCATTTTTTCTGTTTGATTATATTCATTAATATAATATAAACAAAATTTGTGTGGAGTAGGTTTTTAAAAAAAAATGTATCCACTGTATAAACATTGCCAAATGTAGCATACCATTGAGTGTCATATAAAGAAATAGTTTTAGGGACTAAATATATTATGGGAAGTGGTTTATTCTCTGTTGACTGTGTTGTATTACAACAAAGTAGTGAATGAAAAGCTGTTAGACAAGATAACTATAAAAAAACTGTTCTTCAAATATAATTAAAATGTTTAGTTTCATTTCTTTTAGTATGGATTGTATTCAATAATTTTAGTCAAAATGCTTACTTATTATTTACATATTTCTTATTAGCTAGACCTTTATCAGTTCATACACATTTTAAAAGTATATTGTCTTAATGTAGTTAAGTTTTAATAATATTTAATAATAATTAGTTGTACATTTTATTATCCCTCCAACGTATCCTCAGGATAAAGTGGGACGACAAAGTCCCGAACAAGGAAATATGGCGAAGGACAGGATTTAACGACATTGTCTCAGAAGTTCGAATGAGGAGATGGAGATAGCTGGGCCATGTCCTACGCATG